TCTTCAGCGTCTGCGGCTTGACTGTCCTCTCCACCATCATCTGCACGCTCTCCGCTGTCGTGTGCTGCATCCAGATCTTCTCCCTCGACATCGTCCATGTGGTGAGTCCCAGCCCTGGCCCAGGAGCAGATGGGGCTGGGCAGCTCCCCCAAGCTGGGGGGGGTGACCAGGGTACCGGGACGGGACCTGGCCCCAGCCGGGTGCAGTTAAGGCCCAGGAGCCGTGTCATCCACCAGATCTCCGGCCGGGGGGGTCCCAGCTCTTCTTCCTCCCCTCTCCCTGCAGCTGGTCCCCCAGCGCTCGAGCTCCGTGACGCTGGAATGCACGTCCCCCCCCGACACCTTTCTGCAGAGCATGATGGACTTTGAGGAGTTCGTCCCGCCGGTGCCACCACCCCCCTACTACCCACCCGAGTATACTTGCAGCTCCGAGACAGATGCGCAGAGGTACCCGGCTGGGAACGGGGCTGGTGGAGCGGGGCCGCCGCGGTGCGGGAGGTGGGGGGACCCATTTGCCCCCAAACAGGGCTCGTCCCACCCGACGTGACTTTTCTGCTCTTGCCTGCACAGCATCACCTACAACGGCTCCATGGACAGCCCCGTGCCCCTCTACCCGACCGACTTCCCCCCCTCCTATGAGACCGTGATGGGGCTGCGGGGAGACAGCCAGGTGGGAGATGGGGGGCTGCAGGCAGGGGAGGGTCAGGCAGGACCCCCGTCCCGGGATGGGAAAGGGCTCGTGGGGCGACCAGCTCTTCGCGGATGCTCTTCACCCACACCCGCTCCGCTCCTTGCAGTCTCCATGGACAGCGGGTCCCTGATCATGTCTGAGATCATGGACATCCCCGGGGACAGCAGTCCCTCGGAGGACTCGTGCCTGCTGGAGCTGCAAGGCTCCATGCGCTCCGTTGACTACGTCCTCTTCCGCTCCATCCAGCGCAGCCGCGCGGACTACTGCCTGAGCGTGGACTGCGTGCAGTGCAGCCACCACGCGCGCAGCCCCACGCTGGGCTTGCAGGGTCCCTTCGAGGAGACGCCCCAGCCCCGGGTACGGGGGGAGCGCTCCTACTCCTGCTCCACGGCGGAGCCCGCCCACGACGGCATCTTGGTTGGGGGAGCCGTCACCCACAGCTGCAATCGCCTGGAGG